ATCACTACCCCCGGCAAGAAAATTATTGAAGCATCTTTTGGAAAATGAAGTGGACAGGGCGATACGTGACCTAGAACAAGAAACTGTGCTCATCGTGCTGCATCGCTCATACCAGAATTTGACCCAGACGGAGAAGAAAAAAAAGTATCTACGTGATTGAAGAAAATCGATCAGCTTGGAAATATACACGATTCGAACGATAACATCAAGGTGGTGAACACTGGTGGAAAGGACGTCGTGTGGAAAGCTGGTCAAGTCCTGACGCGCGCCTTGAGCTGCGAGGAGCCAACAGTAAGCCAGGTCAGTAGCCAAGCCATGTCATCTTATGATTTCTGTTTATTTAAAGTGCCAAGCCAGTCTCAACTCAAAAGTGCCTCGCATATGTTAGATTCACATTATGTCTCATCGGTAGACCAAAAGTCCGACCCTATGATAGGTGGTGTTTCGCTGACCGATATAAGGATAGGAAAATTAAATGAAAACGAGCGTAGTAGTTTGATTCCTTTAATAATGCAGTATGAAGATAGTTTTGCAAGTAGTACAAACGGCCTAGGATGTACAGATTTAGTTCAAATTAAAATTAAACTCGCCACTGATCAGTCCACATATCGACAACCTTATAGATTATCATTGTGAGCAAGAGATACTAAAGTCTAAAGTTTCGGAATTATTAGATGCCGGTAGTATTATAAAAGAATCTGAGTCTAATTAGGCATCGCCCGTAATATTAGTAAAGAAAAAGAACGGCGACAGCAGGCTTTGCGTAGATTATCGTGCCCTGAACACTGTAACGATAAAATATAGGAAGATCACATTTCAAAATTAGCCGGTAAGGTAAATTTTACTTGTCTCGATATGGCACAAGGGTATCCATCAGGTTTTACTGTCTCCTGAAGACTCTCACAAAAGTGCTTTCATTATNCTCTTTATGTCCATTTTTAAATAATACTTCGATCATAGAATTAGGTACTACAACACACGACAGCGTCCTGACGGGCGCGCGCGTGACACTCGACTGATATAATACCCGCCGGCGGGGCGCTTCGCTGTAGGTAATTATCGGATGTACCGCGCGGAGTGAGCCAGGCCTGCTCAAGGCGATAAATTAAAAATTATACTTGATCAGTTAAAAAGTAATACGGCAGGCCTCGATATAACAAAAGATTTTGTGTTGATAAATGATATGTTTTACCGAAAAACACTAATTCCCATTAATTGGTAAGATTCAATAAGATGCTCCAGAACAGCTAGGTGGTAAATATCTAGTTCAAATGCATCATGACAAAAAAGGGCACGGTAGGATTAAAACGTTGTATACCTAGAATTGATCAAAACTGATTTTTGGTTTCCGAAAATGTCACGATTTATTCGTAAATAGGTAACAGTTTTTTTACATTGTGCTTATGGGAAAGGCGAACATGACAATAAGGAAGGTATGTTGCACCATTTCCCAAACCAACCGAGCCTTTTCGAATGGTCCACGTAGGTCGTAGACCATCTTGGTCCATTCTGTAGAACAAAATAAAAAGGGCAAGCGTATAAATTTTAGTGATAACCGACGAATTTTGTAAATTTGTTATTTCGGAACCAACTCGAACAGTAAACTCAATAGAAACTATCAAAGTACTAAAAAGGATTTTAGTTTGTTTGGATATCCTGATAGACTAGTAACCGACCATAAAAAATCGCGCAGTTATCTTAACTAGTAGAGTCTTTTAATATTTAGGCTGAGTTTTAAGAAATTTGTAGTGGCAATAATATTCACCAAACCGAACCTAATTAACGACCCTGAATCCCTTGAGATTGGCACTATCTATTACAGTAGTTATAATATTGTAATTGTCAACTGTATTCAAGCTTACAAGACAAAAATAAATTGTGTCAATTGAGAGGGAGCTGTTTTATTTAAATTTTTTTAATTTCACACAAGGAACGGTACTTATATAAATTTCTGCAAGCCGGACAACCTCTTTTCACGTGCAGACTATTCACCATCTTCTCAGTCTGCACCGGTGGCGGTTCAATTCCAGTCACCAAGCCGCCAGGAAAAAATCCTTTCTTGCAATGATTCATAAAATACACATTGCAATGTCAACCTTTATTCCTTTGGAGTTCTTATGGAGTAGAAGCACTTAGCTAGCAGTCATTTGTTTAAAGTGTGTCTAAATTTATTTAATGTTTCAAGTCTCAGTAAACCTCAGTAATTTCAGTCTCAATGCAATAAATTAAAAATTATACCTACTTGATCAGTTAAAAAGTAGTACGGCAGGCCTCGATATAACAAAAGATAAATGTTGTTTGTGTTGATAAATGATATTATGTTTTACCGAAAAACACTATACGGGAATCGTCTTGTAGTAATTCCCATTAATTGGTAAGATTCAATAAGATGCTGCAGAACAGCTAGGTGGTAAATACCTAGTTCAAATGCATCATGACGAAAAAGGGCACGGTAGGATTAAAACGTTGTATGCCTAGAATTGATCAAAACTGATTTATGGTTTCCTAAAATGTCACGATTTATTCGTAAATATGTAACAGTTTTTTTTACATTGTGCTTATGGGAAAGGCGAACATGGCAATAAGGAAGGTATGTTGCACCCTGTTCCCAAACCAACCGAGCCTTTTCGAATGGTCCACGTAGACCATCTTGGTCCATTCTGTAGAACAAAATAAAAAGGGCAAGCGTATAAATATTAGTGATAACCGACGCATTTTGTAAATTTGTTATTGCGGAACCAACTCGAACAGTAAACTCAATAGAAACTATCAGAGTACTAAACAGGATTTTAGTTTGTTTGGATATCCTGATAGACTAGTAACCGATCATAAGAAGGCATTTACTAGCAGATATTTTAAGAAATTCGGAACAGATAAACAGTTTAAACATACGTTGACAGCTATTTCATGCCCGCGTGCTAATGGCTAAGTTGAACGCACAAACAGAACTATTCGCAATGCTTTGCGTGCTACGGACCCGGGCGAGGCTGCGGGTAACTGGTCCAATTCGTTGCCTGATGTAGTCTGTGGTATAAACAATACCATTAATGAAACTACTGGGTTTAAACCATATGAGTTGATGTTTTCTCGTAGTGGTAGGTCAGTATGCGATGTTTCTATACCGGGGCGTGTTGTTGAAACCACACAAGAGCAAACCTGCGAAAGCAAGTGATCGTATAACAAAAGCTAGTGCCAGGATGAAACGTAATTTTGATAAACGTCGAAAAAAAAACGCTCATGTTTGTAAGGAAGGTGATCTGGTGCTTTGGAGACAGGCTCCTACTAGTAGTACTGCTAAGGCCAACACTAAGCTACATAGCTCTATTCTAGTCCCTATATTATAACCAAAGTTGTTGGCAATGATAGGTACAAACTCAGAAGCATCAAGGGTTTAAGATACAAAAGTTTTACGGCATTAGTTTCTGCAGACTCTTTGTGGCCTTACCAAAGTATAGCTCCTGTGTCTGACAGTGCCAGCAGCTCGGACGAGCAGTTGGAGACTGAAGATTTAATAGATCTGCTATGGAAAGCTAATCACAAACCTCTCTGTTCCCATTGCGGGAGCAATTGTTTCAGGATGGCCGATTGTAACGCAACACCGTATGCCAGCCTATGCCTGCCTCGCCAAGCCAGCGCCAAGCCAGCGCTAAGCCAGCGCCAAGCCAGCGCTAAGCCAGCGCTAAGCCAGCGCCAAGCCAGCGCCAAGCCAGCGCCAAGCCAGCGCCAAGCCAGCGCCAAGCCAGCGCCAAGCCAGCGCCAAGCCAGCGCCAAGCCAACGCCGCCACATCCGTAATGCAGAGTACGCCATTTGACTACATCCGCTATAAGACTGTGACGTCACTACCGGTTGGTTATCGATGGCCACACCATTTGGGTGGGGGTTTTGTATTATATAGCTGAGGAGCTCATTTTCCGGGGCATTCGATACCGAATACTAAGTTAAGCTGAAACTCTGTCCGATTACTGTGCGAAATATAAAAAGTTGACTTGTAAGCAAGTGTTTCCATTCCCTTCTGTTTAAACCGCTTAAGTTAGACGCTTGAAATTTGGCATGCAGGTCCCTTAGTAGGTAAACTTAAACCTTAGTTACAAGAGCTTCCTCGTTGTGGATAAAAAAAAAAAAAAAAAAATATTGCGAAATTCCAACAGGAACGGGAGTTAGCGGGAAAAAACATTTGTATGAAAAAATCTAAACCGCGTAAGATAGATGAAGGGGGTAAAACGGGATCCACGCGTACGAAGTCGCGGGCTTCCGCTAGTAGTAAATAATTAAAAATACAATGAAGTGATTAATTCCGATTCCATTATAATATGTCTAGGTTATATACTTAAACTGAATATAATACTACACAATATGATTCATAAAATACACATTAAAATGTCAACCTTTATTCTTTTGGAGTTCTTATGGAGTAGAAGCACTTAGCTAATAGCCATTTGTTTAAAGTGTGTCTAAATTTATTTAATGTTTCAAGTCTCAGTAAACCTCAGTAAATTTCAGTCTCAAGGCACANGCCAAGCCAATGCCAAGCCAATGCCAAGCCAACCCAAGCCAACGCCAAGCCAACGCCGCCACATCCGTAAGGCAGAGTACGCCATTTGACTACATCCGCCATAAGACTGTGACGTCACTACCGATTGATTATCGATGGCCACACCATTTGGGTGGGGGTTTTGTATTATATAGCTGAGGAGCTCATTTTCCGAGGCATTCTATACCGAATACTAAGTTAAGCTGAAACTCTGTCCGATTACTGTGCGAAATATAAAAAGTTGACTTGTAAGCAAGTGTTTCCATTCCCTTCTGTTACAATTTATAAAAATTTTGCTGCGGTAATGCACTCCTCCAAATTGGACCACAGTCGCGGGGGCCGGATTCGACAAATATCGGCATGTCTCTGATTCAGCCCTTCTAGCGGGAAGATAGACGAAAGTACGGAAGGGGCACAAAATGTAGAACTCTTTTATCTGATCATTGTTTTCGATTTCTGTGTGTTGGCCACTAGATACCGCCCTATCTCAAATACATCTAGGACTAGAGCCCTATCGCTATTGCATCTCGGACTTGACAACTTAGCGGCTTCCGGTTCCGCCCACGGATTTTACTCTCTGGATTGCACTCCTTTGGTCGTACATTAAATAATTGTAAATTGTAACAAAGTCAAATAAAACCCGTATTGATATACAAGGAGTTTACTGTTACCTCGTACACATACACAACAGCTGGCGACGAGGACCGAAACGAATCTACGGAAAGTGAAATACCTTGTGCGTGTACTTCAAGTGGATGAATAACCTCCAAAATGTGCCCAAACTCATGTCCTTACACCTAAACTCCCATCTTTCCAGGGGCCTCCTATTACCTGTGTTGATAGCCCGCTACACAACATCCTGTTTTCCTTTCCAAACAAATTGCTACAATGGAGGGACAACTGGCACACGTACTCACCAAAATGCTGGAAACAATGGCGCGCATGCAGGAGCAACAACAAAATAATTCCGTAAGTGGAATATCATTGCAACCTTACGACGAAATTAACGAATCATTCGATTCATATCTACAAAGGCTGGAGAACTATATCAATTTGAAAGGCGTGACAAATGCCACTACAAAGGCACACATCTTCTTAAATTGTATTGGCCCTAAATACTATCAGGTGCTTAAAAATATTACATCTCCGAGTACACCGGAAGGCAAGGACTACAATGAGCTTGTCAAAATACTACGAAATCATATTGCACCTGAACCAGGTGAAGTGGCTTTACAACACAAATTCTGCTTGAGATCACAGCATGAGTATGAGTCTATTGCTAATTATGTAGCAGGGCTAAGAGAAATTGGGGGAAAGTGCAACTTTGTGTGTAATGGATGCCAGAACAGCACCTTCGATACCCACTTGCGAGTTCAGTTCATCCGGGGCCTGCGCAGTGCTGAAATAAAGGAGAGATTACTTCAAGAACCACCTACAACAAAAGTGGAAGACCTCATAAGAATCGCAATGGCTATCGAGACCTCAAAATCTGAAACTAAAGAAATGGATAATGCAAATACAAACATAAATAAAATTACATTACATAAGAACAAGAAAAATACATACAATACGAATACATACAATACAAATAACAAGAATAATGCTAAAACAAATATTAACAGCGCTAGTCAAGAAAGAAAAACTATTAAGTGCTTTAGGTGTGGAAAAGATAACCATAAAGCAAGTAACTGCCGGATTGCGAACAAACTATATTGTCAAATTTGCAATAAAAAAGGACACCTCCAATCAGTTTGCTTCAAAGATCAGAAACAACTGGAAGTTGAAGGCATGTCTAATACAGTAGAAGAGAGTGATGAGGAAATATTTGAAATACATAAAATACCTATGGAAAACAATATTACACAAAACGACAAGTTCAATATCACATTACAAATCAATGGAAAAGCACATACCTGGGAACTGGACACTGGCGCAGCAGTTACAACCTGCTCCTCTACATACTTAATCAGGCATTTCAAAGATATTAAGCTACAAGAAACTTCAATAAAATTGAAAACATATACTGGAGAAACAATACAACCGATGGGAACCTGCAACTTAAATATCAAATATAAAAATAAAGAAATAGAAGGAAGAGTATTTGTGATCGATAGAGAAGTAGACCCGGTGGTCGGAAGGGAATGGATAAGAAAACTAAAAATTCAATTTGAAGTAAATTCAATAAATAAAGAAGGAAACGATATCACGGAAAAAGAATTTGGTGAAAGATTACAGATGTTATTGCATGAATATGCAGAGTTGTTTTCTGAAGACATCGGAGAAATAAATGATTATGAAGCTACCTTTAAATTGAAGGAAGGAACATCACCCATATTTTTGAAACCACGACCAGTACCATTAGCTCTCAAAGATCAAGTGGAAGCAGAGATTGATAGGTTAGAAAAGGCAAAAATTCTGGAAAAAGTTAACTACTCAAAATGGGGTACTCCAGTAGTTCCGGTAATGAAACAAAATGGGAAGGTACGATTATGTGCAGACTACAGAGCAACTCTAAATAAAAGCCTAGAAAGTGATAACTACCCAATACCGAGAATAGAGGAAATATTTGCGAAATTGAGTGGAGGAAAATATTTTTGCACACTTGACATAAACCAGGCGTACTTGCACATGAAAACCAATGAGGAAACAGCAGAAATGCAAGCCATAAGTACGTCCAAAGGTACATATAAAGTCAAAAGACTAATGTTTGGAGTGAAAATTGCACCCAATATTTGGCAAAGATACATGGATCAAACTCTTCAAGGAATGGAAGGTACAGCATGTTTTTTTGATGACATTGCCCTACAAGGAGCTACATACATACAATTACTACAAAGAATTAGAAGAGTATTCCAGAAATTACAACAATGCGGACTACACTTAAATAGGAAGAAATGTCAATTCATGCAAAAGTCGGTAAACTACCTCGGACACGTTATAGATGAAAAAGGCCTACACCCGACACAGGAAAAAGTAAATGATATCAAGAATAGCCCGTGCCCAACAGATACATCATCTCTTCGCACATTTCTGGGTATGATAAATTATTACCAACAATTCATACCAAACCTAGCTTCAAAGCTCAATCCACTATATAAACTATTACATAAAGACACGAAGTTTGTGTGGACAAAGGAATGCAACAGGATTTTTCAAGAACTCAAAGAGGAGCTATGTGGAGAAAAAGTGCTGATACCATATCATGTAAATCTGCCAGTAACCCTGGCCACTGACGCATCACCAATGGGATTTGGAGCTGTACTATCGCATATCATGCCAGACAAAACGGAGCGACCAATAGCTTTTGCATCAAGATCCCTAACTAAAGCGGAAGAAGGCTACAGCCAACTAGATAAAGAAGCAGCAGCACTTATTTGGGGATTGAAGAAATTCTTCCAATTCTGCTATTGAAGGAAAAGTTACTCTGATCATCGATAACCAACCACTTGCTAGAATTTTACACCCAGAAAAAGTGACACCTGCAACTACAGCGATAAGATTAGTACACTATGCAAACTTTTTGGCAGGATTTGATTATACAATAAAGCTAAGGAAAACAACAGAACATGCAAACGCAGACTATTTTTCAAGATTGCAACAGAATAATAATAATAAAGTAGCAGAAAGTAAACTGACAGATGATGATGCATTCTACCTGAACCAAATTACAGAAATGCCCATTACATTACAAGAAATAAAAAGAGCTACAGCGAGAGACCAGCAACTTCAAAAACTATACATGGACATACAATCAGGAATACATGACCCTAAGAGACTACATGAATTCTCTTTACAACATAACTGCATTTTTTATGGGATAAGGATTGTTATACCAAAAGAATTACAACCAAAAATATTAGAGGAACTACATACAGCTCATACAGGGATTGTAAAAATGAAAGCATTAGCCAGAAGCTATGTGTGGTGGAAAAATATAGATGCAGACATAGAAAATATGGTAAAACAATGCAAAATGTGTTGTTTGATGCAGAAAAACCCAACCAAAGTACCTACACATAGTTGGGAATACCCAAAAGAGCCATGGAGCCGTATTCACATAGATTATGCGGGCCCTTTCATGAACAAATATTTTCTTGTAGTGGTGGATGCATACACAAAATGGCTGGAAGTGATACCTACTACCTCTATCACTGCCACATCTACCATAAATATACTAAAAAGATTATACACTACTTTTGGTCTACCAATCACTCAAGTTTCTGATAATGGTACACAGTTCAAATCGGAAGAAATGCAAAGATTTCTGAAAGAAAATGGAATCCAAGCCAAGTTTACTGCTCCTTTTCACCCATCTACGAACGGCCAAGCAGAAAGATATGTGCAAACGCTGAAAAACAAACTGAAAGCAATGGTTAATGAAGAAGGATCTTTACAAGACAAATTATCCAAATTCCTTATAATGTATAGAAAAACTCCTAATAGCACAACAGGGTTGAGCCCGGCTGAGATGATGTTTAAAAGAATATACAGAACGAAGATAGACTTGGTAAAGAGAGATACATATGAAAGGATAAACAATGACAGTAATGAAGAGAAAAATTTTAACAAAGAATTTAAAAGTGGAGAGCGAGTACAAATTAGAATGTATGATAACAACAAATGGAGATTTGGATATATTATAAACAGAAGAGGAAAACTACATTATGAAGTAGAGGTAGATGGAAGGATACACCACAGACATGTTGATCAGATACTGAAATCGGCATGCATGGAAAGTAACTCATATACACCGGACAATTACCTGTCAGCACCAAGAGAACCGCAAGAAGTATTGCAGTCTACACACATGAGCTCCACCACACCGTTTTCACCGAGGGCAAGTGCCACACCATCTTCACCGAGGGCAAGTGCCACACCATCTTTACCTTCACCTTCACCGATGACAAGTGAAATGAGTGGTGGAGGATTGCATGCTCAAGGCCCGGTATTGCAGGAGACCGTGTTAACTCCCCCACAGCCGGCAAGAGAAACAGTGTTACGCCGGAGCGGCCGAACTATTAGGCAGCCGCAACGACTGAACCTATAAATAACAAGGGAGAGAATGTTGGCCACTAGATACCGCCCTATCTCAAATACATCTAGGACTAGAGCCCTATCGCTATTGCATCTCGGACTTGACAACTTAGCGGCTTCCGGTTCCGCCCACGGATTTACTTTCTGGATTTGCACTCCATATTGGTCGTACATTAAATAATTGTAAATTGTAACAAAGTCAAATAAAACCCGTATTGATATACAAGGAGTTTACTGTTACCTCGTACACATACACAACACTGTGAAAGCCATCTTGTAGAACTGACGAAAATGTGCCTCTCTAGTACAAAAAGTAAAAAACCAAAAATTTTGAGTTGTGCCCCTATATTATTAAGGGTGCGATAATAATATGTTAATTTGAAATTATCAAGAGCCACCGAAATTGTATTTGAGCCACCGGAATTAAGAATCAATCCACCGAAATTTATTTATACAGCGGAATTCGGAATGTTATGGATGATTGTCTCAAATTACTTATTTATTTGTTATCAATTAAGTATTATTATCCAGTAAAGATGTTTATAATTGAAAACAATATTCAGGCCTATGTTGTGACCCTAAAAAACCATCAGATCTTCCCATGTGAGTCGTAAGAGCCGACCTAAGCAATCAAAATACTGGAGGGTGGGCTGCAGCATCTTTCCAGGTATTATACTACCATACTGGAACTACCAACCAGCCTGCGGCAAAATCCCTCCATAGAGAATAAATCCAAAACTTTCTGGCTCTAGCCGCCAATAGCCCCGTTATTCTAGACTCATCATAAAGACATCATACATGACCCTCAAACCCAGAAACCAACTCTAGTCCCGGGAGGGCGACCAACTGCCCCAGGTTGGTGTTAGGTTTGTCTTCCATAAGTCAAAATATTGGTCCAGGCTAGCCAAGTTTTCTATTATCCTAATAGAGGGCGGCACTGTCGCGTAGTTCACTTCGGCTCCGTAGAAATTTTCAAATTAAAATTACCAAATACCGCGAAAAGTTACAAAATAAGTAATATTTCAACTAATCAAGAACCGCAGCAAACGTGATAACGTTATCCAAGAGGGAAAAGTGCAGAATCAGCCAAAATACAACAATTAATCATCCAACAAACAAGATCACAAATTCTGAGAACTACATTAAACGCAAGTGTTTTGTGAAGTGTCAAAGCAGAATTAGTACAATGCCGATATTATGCAAATAAAAAAGTGAGTAAAAAGTAATAGAATAAGGTTTTGATAAACATAACCTAAAACCTTACCGAAATCGCCGTAATACCCAGACTACAAAACAGAAACAAAGAAATACTCAATACTCAATACTCAATAGTTTATTGCTTCCATAATGTTTACAAAAGGTGTTATTGGTAAGGTAAGATACAATTATGGACCCTGTCGGGCACTGCATTTTAGGAGAGAGGAAGATTTTTAGATTTATTGCATTANTTTTACTCTCTGGATTGCACTCCTTTGGTCGTACATTAAATAATTGTAAATTGTAACAAAGTCAAATAAAACCCGTATTGATATACAAGGAGTTTACTGTTACCTCGTACACATACACAACAGCATTGATCGCCATCGCTGCACGCTGGCTGATCGCGTGTGATCGCGTTGGTTTGGCTGAACCTATAGTGATGGTGATACTGACTCCACCAGGAATCGACCTTCAACACTTGCACAGTAATTCGCAAGCATTTGCGTAGCTGTCGTCACCCGTATGCCAGCATTCATGTCAGTCGTTTCCTATGTCTAATTATTAAAACTATTTCGGTCTGGCATCCGAAATAAAAATAGCAATCGTTTATTACGCCACCGTGACGTCAGTGTTTATTATTTACATTACATACCGTTTGTTGAGGCGTGCAATTTTTTACGGCATATTGTTAAATACATAGTTGATCAGGGTTGTCACTGTTGAATAATGAAGTTTATTTGCCAATATACATAAGAATTTTAACTTTAAGTTAAGGTCGACAATATTATTCAAGCAACAATAGTGAAAACAATTTAAAAAAATCGTAAAGGATTTGTATAATCTCATAAGAGTTTCGGATTAACATAGAGCCTAAAGTTTATATCTCTCGTTCTCACTACGCCAATTCTTGTAGCCATGATCTTAATAAGGCAAACGAATACTATATTATTATGACTTCACACATAATTGCATAGAGCTGTTCTGAAGATTTCTAACAAAAAGTTTTCGTTAGGTTCGTTCGTTAGTTTCAGCCAAATGACGTCCACTTCTGGACAAAGGCCTCCCCCAAGGTTTCGTTAGGTATAATATCGAAATAGATAGATATTGTTTATTGCATACCACACAAAACTGATAAATATTACTTGACTTATTAGATCCTGGCGACCTTAAAGAGGGAGTGTCCACATTGTATGTTTATGAGACAATGCACTTGACCCGACTGCGCCTGACGAACGAGGACATCTGACACGCCTGACTTGCACTGATTGCATTCATTGCGACTTTGTTCTTATATGGTTATGGTTTCTGTGACCTTAACAATCAGGGTAAACAATATGACATTGTGACAGTGTGACGTTCAGATTTATAGATGTTTATTACCGCCTCTATGGTTCTGGGTTCGATTCTCAGAGGGAGCAAAGTTTTCTGCTGAAATTGAGTTGTAAATCCGCCTGATTAGCTATTACAATCGTTCCTAAGTCTGTTGCCAAAACAACATTGTTACAGTGTTGTTTAACAGAAGTTGGAGGTAAGATAGCCAGTTCCTCTGTGCTGAGAATTCTGGGTGAAGCTTGCTTCCATCTTCAGATAGATCGTCATTTTCCGCCAGGTGAGATGCAGGCAAAGAACTCCCTCGAATTGATTAGAAATAAATTTAAACTGTCTTTTTGGCTTAATGCATGTGGGTTTGAATTAGGGGTAAATATTAAAGTAGATAATAAGAATGAGCATGAAAAATGTACATTTACAGTGTATAGAATACCACTATGAACTGAATACGTACCTCATTATACTCCACCCCCATAGTAGCATGTAGCTTCACGAGAACCCTCTTGCCCTTCGGTCCTAAAGCCTGTAGCCTCTTCAGGACATCTTCAAATACTTCTTTGGAGGTTTGCTCGTCTGTCTCTATCATCTGTAAAAAAACAATTACATATACACCTTCATCGTCATCATCATCATTTCAGCCACAGAACATCCACTGCTGAACATAGACCTCCCTCAATGATTTCCACATCGCCCGGTTGGTAGCGGCCTGCATCCAGCACCTCTCGGCTACCTATGATACCCTTTATGAGGTCGTCAGTCTATGTCGTTGTATCTAAAAAGCTTCGCCCTAAAGTTTGGTCGGTCTATCAAAAAGTCTCGCATCTCCATATATCTTATCTAAAACCTAGCTAGAGTTATTCAGTATTCCGTGCCATCAGTCTTCCGTGCGTTCGGACTAACGATATTCGGTATAGCAAGAGTTCTTTCGGGATAGAGTAAAAGAAAGTTAAAGTAAAAAAGCAAAAACGATTTTATTTGCCAACAAAAAGTTTACAGTCGGAGTCGAGTGAATCGGAATTCCGATTTTCGGGATTAAGAATCACAGTAAAGATTTTTTCCAGTCTGTCACAAAACTGTTCCTCTTAAAAAACCGGGATAAAAACTTTCCTGCGTTTTTTCAGGGTCTCAAACTACCTCTGCCCTATCAAAATCGGCTAAAATTAAAGGGATCAATTAAAACAAACATAATATCATAATGACAAACATACGGTTTGAATAAAATATGTTATTGATAGACCACATTAAATGAGATGTATGACATCATACAACGCGGCCAGCATTTACTACGATCGATTTGCTATGCATAGTATGCGT